TATCACTATAATTGTAATTCGTAGTGTAAATGTGTTATTTTCAACTTAATATTAAAGTTACGAGAGGGCTCTCGTAATGTTAAGAGGATATTTGCGAGGATTTTTCGTTCTCGTAACATTACGATGTTTCTGTCAACAGTTAACGAGTGGAAGTTAATGTTAAGACTAATGTTAAGAGTAAGACTAATTTTGTTTCTGACAATGGGCCCCTGTTCCCCAAAGCTTCCACAAAAAATTGTTCACAAAACGCCAAATGATCGGGCCTTATTTATCACTTATTTATCTACATGGACATCTCACCTATCTTTTGGAACAATTTCCACAACTTTACACCATGTATTTATGCATTTATTCCTCAAAGTGCTAGCACTACTTGCATTTCGTTTTGGATTGCTGTTGTGTACACTGTACACGAGTGACGTCACCCGAAATGTAATAGGCTGCATTATAGCTGCCCATGTGTTTTGTCTACATTTCGGGTGACGTCACGCATGTACACAACAGCAATTCAAAACGAAACGCAAGTAGTGCTAGCACTTTGAGGAATAAATGCATAAATACATGGTGTAAAATTCAGTTGTGGAAAGTGTTCAAAAAGATAGGTGAGATGTCCATGTAGATAGATAAGTGTTAAAAAGCCCGATCATTTTGCGTTTTGTGAGCGATTTTTCGTGGAAGCTTTGGGGAACAGGTGCAGTTGCGAAACCTAACATAAAATGTTCTATAGCCCTGCGGCAACTGTATGCGAGCTATAGTACTAGAGCTAACCGCACGCTAGCTGCTGCACGCTGACACATAAATATATAGAATATATTAATGACATATGTATATATTTATGTGTCAGTGTGCAGCAGCTAGCATGCGGGGCTCAAGGATAGAGAGCATGGTTGTGAGAGCAAAGCCGATGAGTTACGCTACATAGTTCTCAATGGAACCATGCTCTCTATCCTTGTACCGCGTGCGGTGTACTTGTGTGTTGCAGATGAGCATTTGACCAGCATTTCCAGGTGATTATATATGCGAAATAGAGTAGAGAAACATTAAGACTTTGGTAGTAAATACATTTCGTGTTTATTTACCTTTTAATTATTTATTGAGACGTTCCAAGTGCCTGTGCTCTACACATTCTTATCCGGATCGCGACAGGGGTGGCGCACTGTAGAGGGAGCAATGATGAATGAATGAGAATGACCAATGCCAATGGGAATGGCAGTGCCTACACGGCTACAGGCTACACTAACAACTTTTAGCAGATATGATGTGTGTTTTGGTCAGAGGAAACTCGGACTGCCTCAATACCTGCTTGACCGAATGGCCAAATTGCCCAAGTAGGTGCATATAAACATTTAACATAACTGTTACTTCTTGCCTGAAATGACGGAACAGGAACACTTTTACAAACCTCACATGTAGCGTACCTGGCGCCCTCGGGCGGTACACAGTTTTTGTTTTGTTGCGGTTGTAGTTTACTTGTTGTATTATTTGCTTTTGTTTTGTTGTTATTTACATTTTTGTTTTATCATGTTTGCATTTTATCACGATGTTTTAACTTCTATTTTTAATAATTTAAAGTTCATATATAACATACAGTTAAATTCCTCACATGCTCACTACAAGTACAACGTAAACGACGGGACTTCAAGAAACGGTCATACTAGTGTTGAGTAGAGTAGTAGAGTGTAGAGTGTAGAGTAGTATAGTAGTAGAGTAGTAGTCATCTACTGTTCGATTCTTATGTCAGCTGGGATCCCTGATTGAAGAGATGAGCATCTCGAAAGGCAGTCGTTACAATATGAATTTTAAAGCGCCATTAACCTATATACTTTACTGAGACTTTTGTGTATATATACCTATCAGTGATAAGTTATATAGTATACGTATATATATATACCTAATATATATATATAGTCATCAGTTGTGCCACACATAACAGGTTGCCTTGATAACATTTTCGCCAACGGCATGCATGCTATACAAGTAAACGGACGGATAACGGTCGGCTGCCGAAAATCAGTATCGCCCCACTACGAGCGCCACCCTCGCTTTGCCAGCAACGCGCACAAAAAATGCCAAGATGAAATGACATGCACTAAAGAATATAATTTGTACTTTTTTCTCACTTCCTTGCATAAGGCTTAGTTATTTAGAACGGTGTGAATCTTAGTTATCGTGGCCGCACAATTCACAAGCGTGACGATATGCGCATCACAATAAGCCGCATGACGAGGTAATTTGTATAACCCGTTACGGCTCAGGCAGCGTGGGAGCGTACAAATCGCTGACCATATATATAACAATATATATAATAGTATATACCTACGTATATATATATATGTACAATATATACAATAGTACAGATATGATAGTACAGCAAAGACAGCTAGCTTCTTATCTCCCCGAAGCGTTGTGGATGCAGTACGTAGGGCACTATATGCTCTACGTGCGGCGTTGCTGTTATTGCCGATATTTACTCGTGTTGCTTTCTATAATGCGAGTGTGCACTGGCTAACTGTTGACGCTGCGTTTGCAATGCTGACTGAGCGAATGGGACAGCGGCAATTGGCAAACTATCACCAACACCTGCATGGTCAGAAAACGGTATTGTACGGGTGGACACACTGCATGCACGCGGCATTGCGATTAATCATGACTATATATAATAGGAACAGCATGCGTTCAATATTCAGCAGCGTCTGATTACGTTAGCGTGCCCGCGTAAGGCTGTTCCACTGCCAAGCTTCACCATGTGCCGGTGGCACATGCACAGGTAGGACTTCTTCAGTAGGCTTCTCTGAGAGGGATACTCCGCCAAGATGCAGATGCCGCGTGCATAGCCATATATGTTAAAAAGATGCTACAGGAAGTATCACTGTAATACACTGTCATAGATTTTAATTGGCTTGATGTTACATATAAGGCGCGTTATAGGCGAAATTTTTATACTAAAAAGGCGTTCTTCTTGCCACTTAATGGTTTACACACAAGCGCGCCGTACATATACACATGCTCGCGCGGTTGCGAACTTGCGCGGGCCAGACACGCACACACACTACGCACACACACACACCAACACGCAAAACGCACGGGCCGGTGGGAGCCACGCATGAGACACCACGCACGCGCGCGCGCTAGCGCGTGCATACATAACGCAAATACGCACGCAACAGGCACGCCGCGCGCCGTGATAACACACGCACCACGCGCACAGACGCCACGACACGCGCCGCACACACACAGCACACACAGCACACACACACACGCCCGGAACACACCACACCAACTCCGGAGCTTCACACACACACACACACACACACACAGACCCACGAACCAACATGCTCCGTGATACATCGATAGCGATTGTGATCGCGAAAATACGAACTTTTCCCGCATCTATATATTTTAATTAATGGATTTAGATATCGGGCAGAAAAATACTAGACCACTACGGGTCTATAATTGAGCACATCTCATCACGATGGCCCTCAGATAGCGAGTCAATAAATAGCGAGCTGTTGCACCAGGCCCGGATCCAAAGTTCAGCAAACATCAGTGTCTAACTGATATGTCTAACATAAGTGACCTTGACAGATGTCATATATGAGGATTACCACACCGCGCGTGATCGATGAATGATCGTAAAACCGGGCGAACACGTGGCGATTTTTATCGACAGTAGGGTCCTACTGTCGATAAAAATCGACCTCTGCAACCCGCAGCCGGCTGAAAGGTGCGATAGGATATGTTTACTAGGCACTTCTAATTTTAACATATATTTTGGCCGCGTCCTTCCACGCCCGGGGGATAGCAACGCCCCTAGTTCAAACCCCTCCACGGGCGCGGCCATATTTGATCACGTGCTTCAAATCATGCATTTGATTGGTTAATCCAAAAACTGTTGACTGAATCCGGCGCCTATGCCTGGTCAGCGCACACGTAGCGATTGTTCAGCGACTTGGCAACAAATATCAAACGTGTTTGATATTCCAGCGACGAGTTTCTGGCGTCAAAATCGCCGACGCCGTGCAGCGCACACGTGGCGATTTCTCGGCGATTTTGTTGCTGGCAACAAAATCGGCAGTAGGCCTAGGCCTACTGTCGATAAAAATCGCCACGTGTGCGCCGGCAGCACCTAATAACAGCACCTAATGAGACCAATTAATTCCCAGCTAGCAGGTATATAGAGCGTGGGACAATATGTCACTCGCTTATACTATACGTAGATGGTAATTACAACAGCTAGTATATAAACGTCTCTGAAGATCAGATCGTATAATTAATACTAAAAATTTATCTTATAATCTATGCTAGCACCTTATACGGTCAACTAATTAGGCTGCTCCCTATCTCATGTACGCTCTCTCCCTCTTGTACGAGAACACTAATTAAACAAACAAAACACATCTATCGTTCTAGTGTCTCTGACAAGAAAATTTCTTGATTTTATTTACTTTCTAAGATAATTACCTTTGCTCGTTTTCACTCACCGCTGCGCACAAAATACGCAAGCAACAAAGCGCTGTGTGACGTTAGCAATCTGTATAAATCTTGAGTGGGCACCAATTCCCAGTGTCCCAGATTAAACTATGAAATTTGTCTAGTTCCCAGCTAAATGAAATCGCAATTCACAGCTTTCCAGCGTCCGGTTGACATCTATTCTCGAATCTCGAAGAAAATAACCCAGATAATTAAAATGGTTTAATCCAGTGCCCCGAAGATAAGCGGCCCCTTCAATCTTAGATATGGTGCGTTCTTATATACTTTATAGCTAGAGTGCACAATACGGTTCAAGTTCTAGCTCGCCATCACCACCCTGCTCTCTTCGTCAATTCGTCATTATGAAGAACGCAAGTGAAATTTTTAGTATAGTAACCGAGCAGCTTCGAGTCGTGTTGCCTCTCTTAATTGAATTAACAATATTTTCTATGCGAATATGGCTTGCTATCGCAAAATCGATAATCAAGTTTTTACTACCGCTACCTTACAAGGCGAAACGTGTACAAGGAGAGATAGTGCTCATCACGGGTGCTGGGAGCGGTCTCGGACGTTTGCTGGCTACCAAATTTGCAAAACTAGGCAATACGATCATTCTCTGGGACGTCAACACTAGTGGCAACGAGGAAACTGCTGCTCTTGTGAGAAAGGAAGGTGTGAAGGCGCATGCATACACGGTGGATCTGGGCAGTCGCGAGGCGATATACGCAGCAGCAGCCGAGGTGAAGAGGGATGTCGGTCATGTCACCATCCTTGTCAACAACGCCGGTATTGTCACCGGGAAAAAGCTGCTAGATGCATCCGATGAACTGGTGAAAAAGACGTTCGACGTAAACACCGTTGCTCATTTCTGGGTAAGAACGCGTATTGCTCTCTCTCTCTGTCCAACAATCTGTTGGGATGCGAAATTGTGTGGTGTGCAGAGGAGTGGTGCGTTTTTTACCAGCTTACGTTTGGTAAATAGCGTCAGAAGAACCACCAATGGGCGTGCATATTAGTAGCACTTTAGATGATTTTACGAAGCAAAGCCATAGAACTATTGTTTAAAAGGCGATATAACCTCATATATATATCAACACACTTGCTTAACCTCTTTTTCTACAATTTATATAGACAGTAAAGACATTTCTGCCGCACATGCTGGAGCAAAACCACGGGCATGTCGTTACTATTGCTAGTTCAGCAGGCCTTGTTGGAGTAAACGGGTTGGTGGATTACTGTGCCAGCAAGTTTGCCGCTGTTGGACTTGATCAATCACTTCGGTAAATTCGCACACCATTTTGGTTGCCTCGAGTCTGGGTATTATTTCTAAAGGGTATATAATTGAGTAAGAATACGTCACATTTTTGTACACGTACATTGCTAACATGAAGTAACATCTGCTGCTATTTTCACTTTATAGGTTTGAACTTCATGCTTCGGGAAAGGATGGTGTCCACACGACATGTGTCTGTCCCTATTTCATAAACACTGGAATGTTTGGTGGTGTGCAAGTCAAGTAAGATCAAGAGTTTCATTAAATTATTGTTAGATAGACTTGCTAATTATAGCTAGTAACAGCAACGTCCGAACCACGACGTGCACACAAGGCTACAACCTTTATAAGACATATATGACGTGAACACTTTCCATAATGATTATATAGTTCATATATATGGAATTAGCTCAATACAACGCAGTAGGCCCTACGTACAGTTCAATACAGCTCAATGCGGTTTAGTACAACTCAATATGGGTTAATACAGCTCGATACGGCTGAATACAGCTCAACGAATCAAAACAGCTTAATTTAATACGTTTCAATATAGGGTCAATACAGCTCAATGCGGTTCAATGCAGCTCAATACATTTCACCAAGAGGTTATTAAGAATATTTAAGAGTATTAAGAATTAAGCATTCTTAATATAAGCATATATATAATACAATGCAGCCAGTAAATTCTCGATATAGGTATATATATATATATATATATATATATATATATAAGCACAACTCTGTTTTTATAATATCTATGGTCTATTGTAGTATCTCAAAATATGCATATGAAGTTTTATATACAGTATTTTACCTACTGTGTGCCGACCTTGTTGCGTGTAAAACATGCTATAGTGAAGAATTATGTAAATTCGTAATCTGTAATTTTATACATTGTAGTACGGTGAGCTTGCATTTCAGCGGCAATTCGCTGATATCTACAGGAGTCTATCAATATTGATAGACGATCCTGATATCTACAAGTAACCGCCGCGGTGGAAACGACATGACACAGTATAACAATATGTTGCATGTCCATCTCTACATTACAGGTTCCCAAATTTCTGCCCTGTCCTAGAACCAGACTATGCAGCTGACAAAATCATGGAAGCTATCCTTACAAACCAGCAAATGCTTATAATGCCCAGGGTTATGTACGGGCTTGTTGCTGCACTAGCGTAAGTTTTACCGATGACTATAACAGATTAGTTAACGTGTTAGCATGTAAATATAAACTTGTGATAAACAAACAACGAAAGAGGGGAATTCTATTGATAACCAATGTTGTTAATGTAATATATTATATATTAATACAATATGTACAAAAATGTCTGTTGCTTATATACTTGTAGACTTCTACCCACCGAAGGACACTTTCACGTAGCCGATTTCCTTGGAACAAACCGCTGCATGAACAGCTTTAAGGGTCATCAGGATACCAGGGCAATGTAATAAGGCAGTATCGACGTAAGCATGGCATCAAAGAGAACGCGGCACTCCTTCTGTTATAAAGAACATACACTGCAGTGGCACATAGACGGCAATCAAATAGCAGCACTGTTAGCAGAGGCTCAGAAGATTACAGGACAACCGTTATTCTCCCGTAAGAAAAGAAAGTTTTAGGAAAATTATATCATAAATGTGTGTTATATCATAGGTGTCACTATGTAAGGTAGGGTGCAGATTGAGACGATGCAGAATATTTTCAAATGTAAAAGTAGGTGGAGGGTAGAGCAAGTTGGATGAAGACTCTCTTTAGCTCTTCGGCTGAACTACTCCCTGCCTTCTACCCTAACTACACTTCTCCCTCATCTCACCACTTCATTTCCCTTTTCCTCTTTCCACCTGTCCGCTCATCTACTTCATCATTTACTATTCATCTCCACCGTTCATTACCTTTTTCATCTTACATTGTATAAACTTTTATTCCTCTTATCTTTACCTAATAATTATACCTTCTTATAACCACCTATTCACCTTCCCCTCCTCCGCTCTCCTTCCCGCTCAAAGTTGACAAACTTTTCCACATAGCAACATAGTCCATTAATTTAAGATTTTAAGCAAGTTATCTTCCTGTCAGTAGTGGCTCTATTAAGTAGTTTAGATTATTGCAATAACGTCGCTGTAACAGTATAAGTCAATCTATTATCAAACATATTAGATCATGTAGTAATAAAAAACTTACATTTTTAATAATTCACACTGCCACGTCATGACAATACATCGTACAATTCGGTTATTCCTATCATAGGGTATGTATGTGCATACGAAATTACTCTTCAATTGCTTAACTAATGTGTACACATTTTGAAATTTCATTCAACTCTGTAACTAACATAACAAACGATATCAATGTTCTAACTTAGAGAAAAATCAATGGAATCAATTACCCTACAATTGGATGCTGACAAATGATACTGGTGAAATTTAATTAACTAGTTTAGATAAAACGATATTATATAGCATGTTAGGATGTGAAAGGTAAATTTTGTCACTAGTATCTAGTGCTTTTCATGTAAATTTCAATTTATATGTCATTTTATAAAAATTTTGTTTAGCTGATGGTTAGTAGATTAAATGCTAACTAATAAGACTGTCTTGAATACAAATAAACTCTCGGTTTTGACCATCTTTAATTGTGATGTAGCATTCCAGGATATATATGTAGATTATACATAGGTCTGAAATGGAATATCTGGCGGGTTACTTACCTAATTTACTTAGTAATTTAATTTTAATTTAATTTTAGTTACTTAATTTTATTAGTAATTAATAAATTTACTTTATCACCAAACACTTTTCCCAGTCAATAAAATGTGCAGCAAAAATAACCAAGGCACTTACTTTCTTATCCTGTGATTTGCTTAAATTGGAACTAGGATTTAATAACAATAGGATACAACAAGTTTAATAAATAATTACTCTTTTAAAACTTCAAAAGTTATAACTGTATTTGGATCTTGTCTCTGTACAGATTCGATGGCTTCTATAAAGCCAGGTATCTGAACAAGCTGTTGAAGTGTAGACTTGGATTCATTATTTGTTGCGACGATGCGATGTAGATCATTTTCATCCACAACGCCTTCATTGTTTTCAACAGGGATCTGCTCCTCAGTTAAGTGGATTTCTTCGAGATCTTGGGCAGGTGGAATCTCTATGTGCTGAATAACACCAGTATCTGAAATGTCTCCACTAATGAAAATCTGTCTGACCTGCTCGTTTGAAGCATTCTGCAAGGATCCAGTATCAGCTCCTTGGAGTTGATTTAGGGACATGAGTGTTTCTACAACTCCATCCTGTTGTTTGTTCTTAATAAGCTGCTCGATGTAACCGGTCTTATCCCACTCATAGCGCAAGTCCGCATGCTTCTTCCGCAGGTGACGACGAAGGCTATGCCTCAGCTTTACCGTCGTTGGACAAAACTCACATGTCAGAGTTAGATTGCTGTGAAGGATCTTCTCGTGTTGTTTTAGTAGATGTTTTTTCACAAATGGCTTATTGCAAACCTCGCAAATGAACCTCACCGTCTGTGTATGCTCTAACACGTGAATGGCCAGGTACTCCTTTGATCCGAAGCTTTTGCCGCAGTACGAACAAGGAAACTTTATGCCGTCAATGTGCGTGTTCCTGTGCTTTAACATGTTGCCCTTCTGGGAGAAGAACTTTCCACAAACATCACAGGAGTATTGCTTTTCCTCCTCATGCAGTCTCATGTGCATTATGAGCGAGTGTCTGGACTTCACCATCTTGCCACACTCTACACACTGGAACTTACACTCGGCAGAATGCACCATGGAGTGGTCTTTGAGCGCGTCCTTTCGGTGAAACTTCTTGCCGCACTCGTCGCACACAAAGTTCTTCTGTCCGTGCAGGAGACGGTGCTGGTTGAGGTTACTGCGCGAGTTGAACTGCGTGCCGCATACCTCGCACACCAACGTCTCAAAATGAACCTCCTTGTCGATCTGCTTGCGAAGCTTCACAATTCCGTCCGCACCCTTGCACACGTGTGCCATCATGTTGTCCCTACGGTGGAAGTGCGTTCCGCAGTGCATGCACTCGTACTTCGGATCGTTGTGGATCTCCATGTGCTTGTTGAGGTTCGACACGCTCTTGAACACCTTGCCGCACGTCTGACACTTCGGAGCGATCTCGGCGCAGATGTGCATCTCCAGGCGCGAGCGCTTCGGGAACCTGCAGCCACACTTGCTGCAGACGTGAACGTGCGTGTGAGTCATCTGGTGCTGTCTGTACGAAGGCACGTCAGTGTACTCCAGCTTGCACTTGCTGCATTCAATCACGCCAAATGTTTCAATCTCCTGCACTTTGCTGCAGAATCGCATGTGGTTAAAGAGACACTCCTTGCCGCTGAGCCACTTCTTGCATATCTCGCAGGCGAATTCGCCCGTGTGCAAAGGAAGGTGCTTCGTCAGGTATTTCTCCTTGGCAAACTTTTTTTCACAGATATCGCAACCGAAGACTTTGTCTCGTGGTGTTACAGCACAACTATGGTTCTCCAGAGAGCTTTTGCTGGTGTACGTTTTGTTACACAAGTTGCATATAAATCGACCCTTGTGCTTGTTGCTGTGGCGATCCAATAGTTTCTGCGTGTTGAATGCTTTGTAGCATAACTTGCAAAAATACTGGCATTCGCTATAACTACAGGCATGGCTTTCAAGTTCCTTAACTGTACTGAATTTTCTTTGGCATTTGCTGCAGTGGTGGCTTGACAAATGGGTCTGTAGGTGACGGTAAAGTTCCATCATGTTGTTAAATATACGTCCACAGATGTCACACTTTGCTTGCTGTGACTTTCCCAGATTTATGCATACATGATCATCAAGAATATCTCTTCTTGAAAACTTTCTATCACATATTTGGCATTGGAACCTGCCTTCATGAAGTGCCATGTGTCGACTCAAAGAGGTTTTTCTAGTGAATGATTTCTTGCATATTTTACACTCAAATATTTTACTCAGATTTTGAGAGTTCTGGCTAACAACATCCATAGATTTGTCTGCCTCTTCCATACTATCCAATGTTAAATTTCCATTAGCTGGACTGACATCATCTGCCTCATTATCTGAAAGGGAGTCTTCATTTGTCACTACAGCATTTTCTACTACATTGTTGTCCTCATTAAAGGCTACCTCTGAGACAGCACATTCTTCCATATTCTCTGACGAGTGATCACTATCTTCCAGTTGTTCTATTGGTTCATTTTTTACACGGAGCCCTGCACTAAGAAAATGGCCAGGTGTCAGTGTTTCAAGAAGAACAACTGGCTTCAACTTGCCACTGACACTGGCCTCACTGTGCTGCCCGTGTGTACACATAGAAACGTGGCTGTTATACTGATAACGGGGGACTACCTTCCCACAGAGACTGCACTGGCGCTGATTCGAATCGTATGTGTGCTTGCGCATGTGGGGTCGCAGCACGGCCATGCTCTGAAAGCACTCTCCGCAATGCTTACACAGCAGCTGCTTGTGCTCCCGCCGATGCTTCGTTAACTGACCTTTGGTGCGGAAATATTCCTGGCACTCTTCGCAGTGATGTTTGCCATGTTTTGCGGAGGTTTTCACCTTGCGGTTGTTACGTTTCCTGCCTGGTTCTAATTTGGTTTTTTTGTTCGCAGTGATGCGAACACCATCCTTTTTTCTACATGCTACCTCTGCAGTTTTCCGCATCTTTTTACCCAATGATGCTGTGCTCCCTGTTTCTCCCGTGAAATGTCCCATTAAGTGCTTCGCCAAGTCACCAGTGTCTGCAAAAAATCAATTTGAGCTCTTGTTATGTTTAGACCATGCTTATTTCAACATAAGAGTTGCTTACTATCTACCACTTGCCTGGGGGCTAAGTAATGTCAGCATGCTGTTCAAAGCATGCATAAAAATAGTAATAATACTTGAACCCCTATTTAGCACATAACAAACAAAAGGTGAAAGATGTCTCAAAAATTATAAATAACTTTCATTATGACTTAAACTTGAATTATAAATATACATGTATTACATTATATGAGGACAATGAATGAGTGTGGAGGAGCAGGAGTACCCTACGTTTTAGAAGCCACCTCATATGCATCTGGCTTAAAATAATATACCATTGTTAAATTGATGAATATCCAAACCATTCTAGAGTATTTTCGGCACAATCGGTGTCACATCACTTACCTACAAATGATAGACCACACCAACCGCACTTGCATTCTGCAACCAGTGTAATTTTCTCTGGATTTACACTGTCGCTGACATCGTTCTGCTCTAGTTGTTCATCCACTTGCAGGGCAACACTTGCCTCAACAGCTGAAAGAAAGACAAGAGTTAAAGATACTGTTAGGGCTGGGAGGTGATTTTCAATCAAAATTTCAATACCCACTTTATTTGATAGATCGCACCCATGAGCAGCTATGTATACGTAGAAATTATGTATGTAGCCTCCCAAACAGTTCCAAATCCCTGCATTAGTCAATTCTTAACACAGGCGTTCAATCACGAAAAATTTAGAAAAGTGCTAATATCTCCATTGTAAGAAATGCTGAAGTTGTTAATTTTTCAAATGCTATTTCTCTAAACTCACAACTGTGATTCCATAAATTATTGTTACGTTTCAATCCTAACATATCAAAGGAAAAAAGGGTCCCCGGAACTTTTTAAAAATATTATATTTTATAAGTTATGGCTCTTTGTTTACGAAATTGTTGCATTTTGAAAATCACTACAAATTTTCGTACATCTTTTCAACTTATTTCCTAAACTAAAACATTAAAAAAAAATTCCAGGGACTCTTTTTTAGTTCATATTATGAACAACTTATGGTTAAAAGGTTAGGTACCAACTCTGGTGTTTCTGAGAAATAACAATTCACAATTTTTGCCGTCACTTAGGGCGCGTTTGTTTGGTCGGATCCACGGATCTCGATCCGATGGATTCGTTGATCTGACTGATTGTTTGGTCGGATCACTTGATCTCGATCCACCTAACCTGACCCTGCTAGCGAGGAGGATTCCAACGGGATCCAATATGGCGGACCGCGCCTCAGCCAATCACAGCTTGTTCTTTGTTATGGACCATCCCGTGATAGGTCACAGCAAAACGTGAACCGGTAAAAGTGAGTTTGCGTTTGTTTGGTCGGATCAGGATCACATGATCTCGATCAGACGGATTCGTCCCAAACAAACGCGCCCTTAATTAGCAGTAAATTGAAAAAAATAATTTCTTCAGGAGCATAGAGAGACATCTCTCTTATGTAATGGATATGAGTTTGATTGAATTTGATGAGCAGTTATGTTGCAATGCCCTTTACAGTGTTAACCGTCCGTAACCCTAACAGTATCCTTAACTACATCCACATAGAAGTTGTACAAAAAAATACGAAGATAAAGAAAACTTTGGGGAAGTGAAAAATGACTAATAAAACTGTTGTTTATTAAAGGCATAATAGGTCCATTGATTATGCAATTTTAACGAATGCTAGAGTAACTGGCCTCTTGTGTAGTTAATAAGTACATTACCTTATAGCCAAACGCGTATTAGTTTGTCCAATATCACTGCTAGTTACTAAGAAATGTCGAATTGAAATCTACAGTCCAAAAATCGGTTGGCCACACTTTCAAAAAGCTGCCGCGAAGCGGGTGTGATACAGATTTATAGTGCACCGGACATTTTCGCACGCATACTCTGCCGTACGCAATGCTATCATCAGTGATTTCGATCCTTAATTGTGGTCTTAATTGTGGATTGGGTTGATTGTGGTCTTAATTGTGGTGGGCTATTACACTATGAAATGGGAAACACGTAAATGGTGCAGAACACACGAACGAAAACTGACACCCACGGACTATCTATAAACGGACAGCCCAGATAAAACGTTATATCCTTATCTTGTCATTTTACCTTATCACGAACGTCCGTGTTTATTACATTCATGCAGTATCTCTGCGCACTGGGAGATCATCTCCAGCTATTACCGTTGCAATACCAGCTATTGCAAGCTCTTGCTGCTGGCACGCTGCCGCTCGCTGCCGCTCAGCTGGCACGCTAGCGATAGTACAGTGCCGTAACTGTATACGTAACAGTAGGCCCTACGCTAGCTATGATTGTAATGAACGTAAAATCCACGTACGAATCACGGGCGCTCGTGATAATGAAGTAGGCTGTGTTTGGGGCCAACACTATGGGGGGATCGCTGACTAACCACGGCCACAGACTAAACATGGAAAGCAAACGGCACTACGCGTATTTACGTATATTGGTCAAACGAATACACCTGTGTTCGAAATTGAAGACATGTGGGTACCCGTTCATTAGTACCCATGGTTATTTACTTGTGCCTCAATACCGAGAATACACCCAGATACATACTACTAGCTCATTAGTCGTTATAAGCATCCCGGGACAAACAATTCTCTGTTAAACACCCGTAGCAACACGTGACGTCACCGAACCGAAATCGAGGCTATATTGCTTGGCAAGCAATTTAGCATTGGCGCCAGATTACCAGATTTACGGATTTCAATTCGACATTTCTTAGTAACTAGCAGTGATATTGGACAAACTAATACGCGTTTGGCTATAAGGTAATGTACTTATTAACTACACAAGGTGCCAGTTACTCTAGTATTCGTTAAAATTGCATAATCAATGGACCTATTATGCCTTTAACGCTGACACTATAACTACGTTTCTAAATACAATTTATTTCTCTGATTTTAACTCTCATTTTTATACCCATAGATTGAAACACATGAATGCTGCATACCTGAAAACACTTCTACGGGGTGAATTGGTTTTTTCAGTTTTCTTGCGTATGCCGGTGCATACCATACTCGTAACTCCTGCCCTTCCTCAATTTCCTTTGTAGCAGTGAAGAATATCTCACTTCCTAATTGATAAGCAATCATGTTCTGTATCTCGACCGAGTCGGCTGGCCTCACGAGACACATCCAATTGCACTGGTGTTCATCTGTTGTGTCGAGCAGTACTCCAGATCCATCTTTTGACAAGACCTGGAAATACATTCCCCTCGAATTTACAACTATTAGCAACGCAATGTTTACAATTTTTTGACGATTGGGGTGAAGATCATTAATCTAATAAACCATATTATAAGGATAAAAGCATGATATTGTATGTTTTGCTAAATGTTTTTTTGGGTACTTACTACTTACTATAATAGCTTAAATGCGAAATCTGGTTTTCTACTCACACTGGAGTGGGTTGGTATGTCTATGTTAGCTCATCTGGGTGAAAACCTTAATTCATCTAACCTGGGATTTCTTTTTTATTATTTTCACTTTATTGTTACTTCTACAGTGCTTAAAATACAGGAGAGCCTGGCAAGGATATAATTTCAGCAATGCTTCTGGAGTTAAATTAAAATCTGAGAGTGGGTAGGGATATTCGGTAGTAAACAGACTAACTTAGGGTGCAAAATTAACCTGCTTTGTCTGGTAGTCATATGGACCGCTAAAATCTGGTAATCCGCTGCGACTTCTGGTTCAGAATTTTGGTATTTCACGAGTTTTGGCAGAACGAGCACTGTCGCTCTCTGTCATAGCATAAGCAACAAAATTGGCTACGTCCATGTTATTGATCAATGTACCTGATAATGCATAGTTTGAACTTTGAAGTATATTTGATAATTGATGGTTTAATTGATTTAAAATGTTAAAACAACTTGCAGGACAGAAAAATTATTTAGATTATCAGTTTATTCGTCCGTGTTAGTGAAAAACTGACATATATATGTTGACGCAGACACTCAGGTAGTCTACCGGACTAGTTGTTACTGCAATCTACTTGTCCGTGAGTAAATCTGGTAGCTTCAGGCTAATGGACTACCATTAATTTCGAATCCTGCTAACCACTTTGCTGAGAACGTATTTAACATCGCGATTGCTTTGTGATACAATTACTCCTCCTATTTGTTCTGCAAGGGGGGACATTTATCGCTATGTTTCTGACAGAGCTATTCGTGTATCATAGAGTTTTCCCTCAGAATTTCAGAAGGCACGTCGGGCAATCGGGCAATTCATCCCTGATTGTTAATTGGAGTCATTCATGTGTGTCGTAAACGGCCCCATTACATAGTTAAACTCCATCATTTCAGAGACATATATATCCATAAAGTCATAAAACTCAGCATTACTGTATTTGGATTGTCAAAAGTAAATACCGCTGGAAATTCAGGCATGTCGATTAGGCAATTAAGGCATGTCAGATGATTTATGGGATATCTCCAATTAGCCTTAGCTTTGAAAAAATTTCAGGCCCAGCCATGAGCTCATTACATGGGGAGAACCCTGCATAATAGTATTCGTAGGTTTCACCAAAGCGCTAACAATAGTCAAAATTGATAGATCTTAAGATCTGATGATGATCTTACAGTATTCCCCTGATTTTTACGAGATTCTTGTATACACATGTATGCATATATATGATGTGTAGGTAATTGCTATGTTACTATCAAAGCTGAGCCATATCAACAATGACAGCAGATAACACACTAAACTTGATACCATTATCACATTTATTGGAATTAGTTTACCTTTAATTGGAATCCTTCCTCTTCGTTTGCATAAAGAACACGTTTAGCTTCAAAAGGCCCAAACTGTGCCTTTGCAGAAATATTTTCTACTGCTAGGATTCCTGTTGTTCCATCTGGACAGTCAACAATTTCTAGGTGTTTTGGAAGGGTGAGTCGTGCCCTTGACTGCGCAGATTGATGGAGCTTCGTGTCAGCAGAACACAGGGCCAACTCTGGGCAAGCCTCTGTGGGATGGTCTGCTCCACACACATCACAACCTACGAAGTACACATGGAATACTCATTATTACCTCCGCCAAGGGGTTGGCAGGTTATGTTTTCACCGGCGTGTGTTTGTTGGTTTGTGGGTTTGTTTGTGTACAGCCTAACTGAAAAAGTTATCGATGGATTGTCATAAAATAATCAGGATAGGTCAGAAATGGGCTAACTTAGAATTGATTATATTTTGGTAGTGATCCGGATCCAATTAATTACTTGAATTTTAAGGATAGGCCAGAAATGGGGTAACTTAGAATTGATTACATTTTGGTGGTCATCCAGATCCAATTAATTATTTAATTAATTAATTAATAAAATTTTCCACAGTGAAAGAATTGAGCTGCCTTGGCGGAGGTCTGCGCTCTCCGAATGCTCTAGTCTGCATATGTTTTAATCATTTCAAATTTTGACAAAATGCTGCACTTTACTCTAATTTTATATAGATTTTCCTACAGCATATTTTATCCAATTTCTAACCCGTTACCTTAGGCCACAGTTAAAAAAATCTTTGTTTGCCTTCACCCGACCCAGGCTGAAAAGTTTGGCTAGGTAGGTTGGCGTTTTTTTGAGGGCGGGGTCTTTTTACAAATTCAGCATGGCGTCTACATGCTCGGGTGTGCTTGCGTGGAAATACCTTTTATGCTGAATGTTTGTTTTGCTTGGTACATATAATGTATTGCCTACAGATTTAAATATAATGTACAGCGATACAATTTGTTACAAAAAAATATCAATAAATTTTTTAGAGTCGGCCCCTTTTTGCCAAGTCGGTCGGGTGAGGGCAAACAAACAATATTTTTTATTAGGGCCTTAACTATTGGCACAACAGGATAACAATATTACTGCATCAGAAATACTTAATACGGAATACCTGATATGACTAAACCATCCACAACTTCTGTTTCCATTTCCGAAGAAGTGATCGATATTTCCATTGCTCTGCAATAAATGTACTAATTTAACAGTAGTACTAGTAGGGTAATGTATTGACTGTACAAACACAAAACAAAAAACATTGATTTGTTGCCATTCCAGCATCCAGCTACCTAGATCTATTACGAAGTCTCCAGCATCCCATTTTCATCAGAACATTTCATGGAGTGTACAAACGAAGTTTCTGTTTTTTTCTTATTCGGTCCGTTTGTCTGGGACAAATCTGTCTGATCAGGATCACCTGATCCCGATCTACCCAAACAAATGCAAACGCAGTTCCAACGGATCACGTTTTGCTGTGACCTGTTACAGGATGGTACAACAAACAACAAGCAGTGATTGGCTGGGTCGCACGCCGCCATATTGGATCCCCTTTGAATCTACCTCGCCAGCAAGTACTGCAACTTGTGATCAAGATCATTGATCGGCAACAAATTGCAATCAACTGGCTAGTGCAAATCTGTTAACTGATTGGCTAATTTTGTTTCATAAGCCTAAAACGATTTAGAAGGTAGATTCGCACCTAATCTGTAATCAATAAAAATTTATTATATTATTGATATGCAGGGTGTGAAATTAATGGGAGTCCGAAGTCAAATACTCCCTGATTTACTGTCGGACTCCCTGATTTGACATATATATATATGCAAGAGTCCGTGTGACTTCATGAAAATTCTGCCATACTAACTAGTTCACTCCAGAGCACGGCCTCATGGAATTACCGTATTTTTCCAGCAAATGTCCATGAAAATTTGGCAGACGTGCAACCGGTTACAATAACGGTGTGATATTGGATACACAATATATTGGATATTGGATATACAATATCCGTTACAATAACGGATACAATATTGTGATACATATTAAGTTCCAGGATAGCGAAGAAAGGTTCGTGTTTAGAATAAACCCAGTTTGGAAATTCTAGTCTCTGAAAACGCACAAGCAAACTGCCCTGAGTGATTCACTCAGGGGTTCCTCCAAAGACAAGAATAGGCTCGCGTTGTAACTTGTGACCATATCCTGTGTTTGGGTTACATTATTGTATCTAGTTGATATACATAATACAGTGACACAACAGTGGAAGTGTAGGGGTAGTATTTGTGAATGTGCGTTCATCTATTTTCAGTTTTTACTCACTATGTCCCAAGTGCCTGCGAGTACTACTACTACTAGTCTACACTACAGTACATTGTACAATACACTTAATGACTTATACAGTGTCAGTGAGTAGGCTGTAGGGCCTACGTAGGCCTACACTGAGTATGTAGGCCTACTGTAATTTGTAAATGCCGTTCAACATTACAACACACAAACTTACCACATGAACGCCATTGTGCACAATCTCCCTCCCTTACGCTTGCCCGCTTATGCCTATGAGGCTATGTATTTCATGGTGCTAAATCAATCAGTCTAATCTAATAGTAATAGAACTATTAGTATTAGTATTAGAAGGAATCTACTACTTCCTCAGGATACAACTATCAAATACGGCGCCGTTTACGGTTTACCAACACGCAACGCAGAAGTATGTTATTCATGCTTGAGAAACTCGCAACGAAACGGAACACCCTGGACCTAGTCACTTTACACTGACGCCAGAGTATTATTTCTCTGCTCACTGCGATAATAAACTAGTATTATATAAAACTCACTATAATAAAATAACAGTCTTTACAAAATAATCGTGGATCTCACTTGACAACGTGGCTACATCAAATTTATCCGATTTCACAAACCTCGATTCGAAAAGAGCCTTCAGGTTTTAACGGCAGCCATTTGCACAGTTTAGGCGAGATTTTAGATTGGTTCCGGTCTCATTGGTACGTCAACCGATTATCAGAGCGAAGTGACAGCGCAACCAATCTAGCGGCGTAAACAACTAGTAGGTGGCTATCTACTAAAACATAAGAACAGTTATGTATTTGCATGCTAAAGATCTTCCGAAGTTGATCAGCGAATCCATCGGATTCGAGATCCGTGGATCCCACCAAACAAACAGACAATACGAATATATTATAATTTATATATATTCGTATATATATATATATATATTTATGTGTCAGTGTGCAGCGGCAGCAGCAATGCCAATGGCGGCAGCCAGTAAGTAGTGTACGTTGTACTTGTAGGCCTAGTAATACTATAGTATAGCCTATACGGCTATAGGTTTAAACTAGATACAATAATGTAACCCAAACCCAAGAGGATAGGTTAATCGCCCAAACCCTATCCTCTTGGGTTTGGGTTACATTATTGTATCTAGTTTAAACCGACCAGGACATGATAATTGATATATCGGTCTAAACACAGGAATTGCTCCGAACTGTGATTGGAGGATAAAAATAGATTTCGTGACGTTTCGTTTCATTGGTTATAGCCGCGCGTGCACATTTGCTAATTAATTAGACTAATCGCGCTGCAATAGACTAAAAATTCACAGAGATTAAGGCTAAGACCACTGGCAGCAAGATCAAGCCCGCACGTACCACAGGCACTTGAAGCGTATCAACAGTAAACATACGCCGCCGCCATCGCGCGTACACGTACACATATAAATATAGAGCAGGTGAGAAAGCGCGATCCCAAAAATTCGCTCGACGCTCGCTGTATTTCTTACGATTTCAACACAAATACAAATCAAACAGCTTCCATCTTTGCTGCTAATTGAAGTACAGTGTTCACTTGTTGTATAAATATTACGTCTCACTTCAAAACCGAGCTGTGTCACGCGAAATCACACAAAGACTGTCGAAATTCTCGCGTTCGCTA